AACCTTATTTCGAATAAATCGTTGATCATAAAACACTCATATGGAGCTTTATAGCTAACCATATCAACGACTGATCTAACTAACCACAAATGGATTACTTACTAATTACTATTCATAATCTTAATATAGGAGCTATCATAATTTGCATTCTCCAAATCTATACTATATAAAAGTCGAGGCTATAAGCTTCTGAGGCCGTCCACGTGGGATTTTAAACGACCAATCGGGAATAGACACTTTTTCAGTTAACATTTTTACACACCACTTTAATTAACATTTTTAAATTCTAATATATTCTATACTTAAATATTAATAATAAAAGAAAAGAAAAACAATATATGGAAAGAAGAAAATTATGAATTTTTGAAATAACAAAATATACAAATAAGAAAAATGTAAAGTATAGATTTAAATATTATTATGCAGCGAATATATTTTTTTTGAAATAAGAAAAATGTAAAGTATAGATTTCAATATTATTATGCAGCGAATATATTTTTTTTGAAAATTTTCTAATTAAAAAATGTAAAATTACAGAAGGTAATTATGACGGTTTACCCTAGACATTAAACTATAAATACTGAACCTCGACCACACAATTAGTAATTTAGTATTTAGTTTCAAACGAATTTACTATTATGCGGCTTTGATTTTTTACGTTACGATTTTTGTTTTCTAGAAGCAAGTACCTTCTGGAGGTTGAACAGTCTGTGACAAATTGATACCTGTTACTACAAGCAAAAGCAACAATGGCCTAATCTGCTAAAAAAGCTCAAGAGATTGAATGTCGATAAGATCAACCCCTAGAAAACAATGTGGTTTTGATGATATGTATCCCAAGCATTGAGAAAAGGATAAGTAGTTATGGTGATGCAACGAACATTAATCAATGCTTCTCAAAACAGTTGCTAACATATATGAAGACGAAGGAGAATGTTAGCAGATAAAGAAAAAGATATAACTACGTTGTGAGGACCGTTGATGGTGCCAGCCCAAGAACGCATATAGATGTCATCTCCATCATTCATTCCATAGCTCACCATGCCATCCCCAATACCAAAGTTTGGCGTGTTTGTTTGACAAATATAACCGATTACGACGACAATTATATTAAAGATAGCAGGTGACTGTTTTTTTTTTTTTTTGTAATTGTCCGTATTATTTTCGAGTCTCTTTTTATCATCAATAAGTGGACAAGTAGAAAAGAGTAGATTTAAATATTATGAAGATTCTATTGTTATTCAATTTAAGATTTTTCAAAACGCTATCAAAGTTTGATGTTATTTGTTTATGTATTTGTAAATAGTAATCTAAAATCTTCATAAATTTGGAGTTATTAGAGACCATAATATTATAAATTTGAAGCTATAAAAGCTATAAAAATTTCATACCTTAAGTCGAAACCACTAGCTTCTAATTTCTATACTACGTAAAAGTCGAAGCTATAAGGTTATGAAACTGTCCACAAAATTTTAAAAGACTAATCACGATTAGCCATCTCGGTAATTAGCAATTTTAGATTCCAATAATTTTCTATATTAAGATACTTATGAAAAGGAAAAAACAACATATATATATATATGAAAACAAGAAAAATGTAAACTTAAAAAAAGCATATGGGAAAACAAAAAATGTAAAATTTTGTTATTAGAATATATGAAATAATATCAATAGAAAATTAAGATACTTATAAAAAAAGTAAAACCAATATATATATATATATATATATATATATATATATGGAAATGAGAAAAATGTAAACTTAAAAATTATATGCAAAAAAGAAAAATATAAAAAAAATTATTAGAATATATAAAATAATATTATAGTCCCACCAAATTTGCCAATACCCTTCTTAATAACAATTAGGGGTCGGCATTTTAGTTAGATGTTCGAGTTAAATTTGATTCGGTTATTTCAATTTTAATCAAACATAAAGTCTCTAATCAAACTCATTTTGGTTCATTTTAATTCGGTTTGGATTAATTTGGTTTGGCTTGATTCGGTTTGTTATTTAAAATAAATTATTTATGAAATTGAAAGAATGGCAAGAAACTGAAGCAAGAAAAATAAAAATTTTATAACTCGGATAAATAAATAAAAAATTTGAATAGAATAATCAATCAAGAGGTATGTGAAAAATAATAATAAAAAAAGGTATGCAATATATACATGTAACATGTGTAAGTTTATTCATTTGTTTCTTTTCATTTAAATGTTAATTGGTAATTTTTCATGTTTCAAGTTTGATGGTCGGATATTAAATCATTTTAATTACCAAAATTTGAAGTCTTTTTATATACTTGTGTAAAATATGACACATCACATTTGTAATATATTTTATACAAACTTTTATCCTATAAGCTTTTCTTTTATTAAAACAAATTTTTAAACAACATAAATGATACTAAAAATATAAATAAAACAACATTTAAGCTAAAAAGAATTTAAAAATGAAACATTATTGTAATTAATTGATTGCTAAGCCCAAAAATATATTAAAACAATCAATAAAAGTAAACCCCCGCATAGCGGGGGTTATAACCTAGTTTAAAGATATAAGCTTTTAAATTTTAATAAATAGATCAATCAATGAACCAACAACCAAGTACATGATATACCTTTTTTTTTTTGACATCACACCAATTATTTACTTGTGTGTTTATTTCTGATAGAATTTTTCATCTTATATTCTTTTTTCATTCATTCAAAATGTATCAATTCCACTAATATCAAATTTGAGCCTTATATGGAGTATTTCTTTTCATTAGTTGGTAGCATATTCAAGTATAAATACGTCATATATATATATACTAGATCCTGACCCGCACGTATGTGCGGGATTTCATATTTTAAGAAATGTGTTGTAATAAATTTTTATTAAATATATGATTATTTTGTTGTTTTAGTGATATATATTGTATTGAATAAATTATAATGTACACAGAAAAGTATAAAATGTTATTTATGTTTGCTTATGACACAATAGCAACCATAAGTCATTTTTTGGAGTTTGAAACTGAAGAGTAGATTAGAAAAAAATCTTAGATTGAAATATAATATAAGTTAGATTGATGTAAAAAAATATTATATAGTTATAGTATCTATAACCTAAACTCATATCAGTTGGTTGAAATATTTGAAATAATAATGATTTTAATAGTATTTTAAAATTCGTAACAATCAAACGGTCGGATCAAGATCAAACTGAATCGAATTAATGGTCACGTAGATTTTTATTAAACTTGTGAACATTAAACTTGTAAACTATCAAACCGTATATAAAACCGTTAAAATAATTAAATACGTTTGCGAGAAATATAAATATTTAGAGATAGGCGTAATTCCCATTCAATTTTATCATGTTCCATTATATCTTACCCGTTCTCCAATTTATGTCTCATAAGAGAACGCATTGCTAATATAAGACAAATTTTGTATTCCCGATTAGAAACAGGACGTGACAGAAACAAAAATTCTCGAAATCCTGTTTGGGACAAACACAAATATAATTCATAGTATATTTTTATATGATATGATATAATAAAAAAGTTAGATTGATGTTAAAAAAATTATTTATATAGTTATAGTATCTATAACCAAAACTCATATTAGTTGGTTGAAATATTTGAAATAAAAATGATTTTAGTAGTATTTTAAAATTCGTAACAATCAAACGGTCGGACCGAGATCAAAATGAATCGAGTTAATGGTCAGATAGATTTAGGTTAGTTATATAAATTTAAAATAATGAAAACTACCCATTTTTAAAAAATATATATTCTAAAAAATTTATATCATTTAAACTCTAATTAAATGTTAAATATTTTAATCTATCTTTCAAATATTTTCTAGATATTTACAAATTTAGAATCCAAAAAATTAGTTTTTGAATAAGCTGTATTTTAAAGGATGGAAGTATTTCGTTTAGATTATATATGACAAATATAATAAATGCTTTTTCATATTTGGATTATCAAAATTGAAAAAAAAAAATTTCCATGTGTACCAATCAGAATTAATTAGCATAGTATTGTGAAGGAAATTTTTAAAAATGTAAACGAAATGATAATTTTTTATTAGATTAGATTGCCATTTTCGAAAATATCTAATAATATCTAACGAAAATAATTTAGTTTACATATATGCAATTTCGAATTAAATATACACAATTACCCGTTTCGGTTTATTAATTTTCCTTCTTCAAATATAAAAATATCAATGACATTCTTTGTAATTATTTACCTTTTATAAGGTTATATTTTATCAAATGCTTCCCAATTAATAGTATAAATCTACACTATTAATATCATAAACTTTTATAGAATCGTAACATCGTTGATAACTACTTCTCGTTGCAAAATTGATAATATCGTTGATAAATATTTATAATTTTAATATTTACCAACCCGCAAATATTTAATTTTATTTTAAAACATATTATTTCTATTATTAATTTAGTTTAGTTGCTAATAATTTGGTTTAGATTTTATTGTTAAAATATTTTTCTATTTTTCAATTAATGACATTCGATTTATGCTGACTTTTTTTGTTTTATCTCTAACAAATTGAAAAATAGAAAAATATTTCGATTTATATTCGAAATAAATATATTGATGCTGAATATGCAGTTATTATTTAATATTTAATGTTGTTTCCTTTTTTGTTTTTGGAGACAAATCATACCAAAAATATTGACGAAGCAAATCTCAGAATATATTGGATCATTTAATCTCGTTATTTGTTTTTGCAAAAAATTAGTGAAGGATCGGAATCAAATATATTTATTTAGTTGTAGTAGTTGTTTATTTACTAAATTACCCATGTAAAAATTCATTTAGTTAGTCTTAAACTACCCTCACAATGTTGTATTTCACAAAATGATTCCCAATTAATAGTATAGATTGTCATCTCTTATCCTAAAAGGCTAAAAGTCAAAAACAAAATTTAAAGCGCGTTAAACACCTTTTAGTGTCAAGTGGCATAAGTCGTAAATATTCCAAATCCTAGTGGCAATTTCAATAACTCTTTCTCTTTTAAACCATTTCTTTCTCTGTCTTCAATAAAACTTTCGAACCTCCAAAAAAAAAACTCAGAGAAAGTAAGAAACAATGAGAGGACTCTCCACAAAATCCGGTACGATACTCATCGCAATCCTCACCGTCCACTTCTTATTCGCCGCCGTAACCTCCCAATCCGCCGGATTCACCGGAGACTTCATGCAAATCGAGTCAAAATGCAACGGTACCATCGCCGAGTGCTCCTTATCAACGGCGGAGGAGTTCGAGATGGACTCTGAGATCAACAGGCGTATTTTAGCAACAACGAAGTATATAAGCTACGGTGCGCTGAGGAGAAACACAGTACCTTGCTCACGACGCGGCGCATCTTACTACAATTGTCGACGTGGAGCTCAGGCTAATCCTTACTCTCGTGGTTGTAGCGCCATTACTCGTTGCAGGCGATAATCTCTCTCTTTCTCTCTATATGTATTTTAAATTTTTATTCTCAATTCTTTTGTTTTAATCTTATACAATTTTTCAGATTATTATTTATATTTTTTACTGGTAATTTATTTACTTGTGTTTATAGTTTCATTGCAATATAATTGATATAAGAACAGAAATATATATAGATGTAGTATACATTTCTGATTAATATATCAATTGTTATCAGTGATGGTTATAAGAAATTCATTAATATATATGTATTGGTGCTTTTTGCATGTGCTGAAGAAAAAAACAGGTGTTCATATTGGAATTTATATGGATATTAAAATTGTAGTTGTTTCATTTTTTATATGAAGAGAAATATTGTATGATGGGAAGAAATCAAATTTGATTTTTTTTTGTTGGTTGAATAATGAAAGAATATTAAATGTGGAGAAGTGGAAAATAAGAGAAGAGGCAATAATTGGTATTGGTTGGGGCCAACTAAAGGGGCAGCTTCACATGCAAATACTTTCGCCAGAAACCACACACACGTGGCGTATTTATTACGTTTTTTCTTATGAATTCAATTCATTATTTATTATACTCTACTAGAAAGTAACACAAATTAAATTAAATCAGCAATATGGCAAAACATTTCGAGTCATGGAGCCACTTGGAGGAAAAAAATTGTCAAAAGAGAAGAACACGTTACATGAGAAGAAGAAAATAGAAGAGAGAAAACACTAATTTACTCCCATAATTAGAGGGAGGCTGATTTGAAGGAAAAAGTCAAAAAAATTAACAAAGCATTAAATATCGAAGATACACTTAAATTTAATTCACATCATCTAACGGTCCTTATTCGCTCCTCGGCCCCTCAAAGGCTTGTCAAATTTACATGAAAGTATATCCCTAATTCTGTATGCCCTACGAGAAATAAAACTATAAATTAATACTATAAACCAAAGTTTTGGAGAAAAGTGTTTTGGACCGCAAACTCATACCTCATGACAAGCATAAACCAACTCATCACCAGTTGTTTATTGGTTTATTCGATAATGATAGTTTTTGATTACTTTTTCTATCTAGTCTATATTTGTCTTTGAAACCTCACCATTTTCAACATTTGAAGCGCAAAAAGCAAGTCAAAAAATATATTATTTTGTTTGAATTCACATTGGGAAAAAAATAAAATGAAAATATTTTCATTTTTTAAAAGTGAACCTTTTCATGTAGTAAACCACAAGCGAACCTTGAATTGCGTTGAAATTTGAAACAATCAAACAATCAAAACCTTAATGAATTTCAGATATGAGACTCGATTCAGATAAATCTATCGGTCTAACTATGGCTACTACTACGGTACTACCCTTTCCAAATTCAACTCTGGAAATTTAGAAACGGAATCAAACAAAAATTGGAACAATGGTCAAGTAACTTGGTTAGCCTATTTTTCTGATAAGTTTTAGGAGCATAAGAAGACTTCTCTCAGTTCTCTCAAAACCAAAATAGAAAGGCAATTCATAAGTGCAGAATAATGTAATGCACCACATCATCAATCTATCTGATGAACTTAATAAACAACAAACTCATTTCTTAAAACAGGAATTTAAAAAGTAATACTGGCTCTTAACATATTTCATAGTTTTTTTTTTTTTTTTCTTCCAACCTGTGAACACCACACTCCTTTTTAAGTGGAACTAGCGGGTGTTTTGGGTTCATCGCCTGATTTGGAGGCTGGAGGAGGAGTGCCTTCTACTCCCATCTCGGCTCTTAGATCATTGATGCTTTGCTCCAGCTCATTGATTCTGCCTCCCATGTCATCAAGTGAACCATCAAATCAAAAGTCAAGGAGATCAAAACCAATGTCATGACCACAGTATTGCTTATCAAAGAGTTCCCACAGATTCCAGATTTGTATCACTTTATGGTAATAAAGTTGAATTTGTTTAGAATAATAGCGAGCAGAAGGATAAGTATGTATATAACAGTAACTTAACAAGAGAACATACCATAGGACCATCATAGAATAAATATTTAGACTCTCAAGAAACACTTTAATCAGAAAGACAGACAGATTCTAATGATAGCTGTCGATTCCTAGTACTAAATTTATTTCCTTGAAGACACAAAGATATCAATTATCACGGATCATCATTACTGCTCTAGGAGGTAAACATGTAAAATATTCTAATGCAAGCAACATTCAAGCAAAACCACAGATTGAAATAAGGATATTCTTTGTGATGATGGAGTCCGACATTGTCTGGAACCTGGTTTGCTGAAACACCCAATAAGACCACATTTAATCAGAATCTACCTATTGAAGTAATAATTCCAAGGCCTAAGAAGACTTAAAAGCTTAAAGACATACCATCTGTTGGAGAAGATTTTGGACCTGCATATAAAGAATTCAAGGATTCAGTGATATTGTATCAAAATCAGAAACATACCAAACAAAGAGAAGGAATAATTTCTATTAGAAATGGATACTCACAAAAGCAGTCATATCAGCAGTGCTCTGCTTAGTATCCTCAGAATCATGACCATCCTGTCAGCAAAAAGGAAAAGCTGTAAGAAGAAACTAAAAGACACAGTAAAATATAACTCCATTACAATCATCAGGACAAGAAAATGAAGCTTTATAATCATGAAAAAATCGTTTTCAGGCCAAAAACAAGCATGAACTATTGCTCATGGAGGAAATTTCTATCTGAACTTTCTTAGTTCCAACATTACACACAACAAACTCGATACATGAACATTTCTAAGTAAGAAAAATACAAAAAAGTACTGAATCTCCCATCAGATACTGAACCTCATTGATGATTCACGATACTAGAGTTCTTAAAAAGCTGAATAATCAAGTTACACAAAAAAAATCCATAGATGGGAAAACAAAATCGAGCAAATGCAAAATTCTATTGTTACCCAGCAAAAAAAAATCTCAAAATCGTCCAGATTCACTATAAACTCAACATTTCGATAATCGATCTACAATAACAGAGCAAACATAAGAAAATCATGCGAGATTCCACTAAACCGTAAGAAAACCTAATCCGAAGATGAATCATCCGAGAATAAATTCAATAGACAAATCCGAATAACGAGCCTAGGTTTCGTGAACGAATACATAAAATTGAGCAACGCGCACTGATCTGAAGAGGCAGTTATATACCATTTTTAGGGTTTCCTTCGTCTGATCGGAAAACTGGAGAAAATTTTGATTTCAGCGAAAAAGCGATGAGACGACGACGGAGAGGAGCGAGCGATGTGTGTGTGTATAAAACGGGAAGAGAAGGGTTATTACTGTTAACCCCAACCTTATAGGTATAAAATGTCTAAAATGCCCCGTATTTACTTTAGTATCTATCGTTATGATTTGATTGGGTGGGATCATGTGTGATTGTGTGTGTGTTTTCAAATTTCAAATTTATATGAACGTTTGGTATTTGAGATCTAGATCTAGTGATGTTAAAATTGATGATTCAATAACGTTTAATTCAACCGATTTAAATCAAAATTGTGGATGTTATCCGTTCTAGACATCTGTCGGAAAAAACAAAATGTTCAAAAATCACTTGTCAAAAGCTATAGTGGATAAAACATTTAGTTTGAATTGAATTGAAAATGATTTTTTTTTTGGTAGGAAGAATTGAATTGAAAATGATTGAGACAAAAAAAGAGAGAGATAAAATTAAGTTTTTATTAAAAATGTGAACTAGATTACAAAGAAATTCAAGATATAGATTTGCAACGGCAACAAAAGGTCATCTTCATCTCTTGTGAGTTTTTCTTTTTGACAATCGTTATTTTTTCATAATTATGGATATTAAAACTAGGTTGATTCTTTTCGGCAGTAAATTCTCAAACTACAATTGATTTGATTATGTGCTTAATGTTTACAAAAAAAAGGTACATTCATTTTTTAAAGTATGATTATTTGAAATGGAGAGAAAACACAAAGTTGGTATAATACTATAATTATATAAAACGTGGAGAGAAATGGAAATAAACAAAATTTGTATATTCTTTATTGAAAGTACAATTATTTGAAATAGAGGAAAAAATACAAAATCAGTGTATTAAATTTTAAAAGTAAAACTAGGTAGTTTACCTCTGATTATTAAGTAAATGCATTGTAGTTTTGGTTACAAAATTTATTATATTATTATCTAAAATAATGAGATTTGTATGTGATACAAAACATGTAATGTATTTTTTTTATTCTATTCCAATCATCAATTTTTTGTATTGGAATTCGTTTTATCCGTAAAATGATTGAAAACGACAAACTTTTTTTCTAACAATCGTATACATCTTAATGAAGAGTTTATGAAGATATGTAACCTGTCTTAGACCAAATTTTTTTGAAGTTGATTTTTTTTTTAGGACTTTTTTTTCAAGTTGACTAAGAAATAATTATTCACTAAATATAAATATAATATTATTATTATTAATAAAAAAATGTTAAATGATGCAGTTTGTATTGTAATTACTGAAGATATGTTTCTTACTATTGTTATTGTATTGTAATGTCGATATAAATAAGTACAATGTGTGCATTTATATTAATATAATACAGATCAATGAATTTGTTGATATATATAAATAAGTACAATGTGTGCATTTATATTAATATAATACAGATCAATGAATTTGTTGATATAGACTTTATATGTTTATAAAGTAGAGATGTCGTATATTTAGTTTGGAAATGTGAATTTCTTAATTATTATTATTTTTAATTAGAATTTTATTTTTTAAATGTGTGAGATACGCATATACAAAACTAATGGTAAAATCTGTAAATATTCTAGTAACAATTGGGCAAATGTTTAAATGGGTTAAGAATCTCTAAGGACTACACGAAGCATTGTATTTTTGTTACTAACACATGAGAGTAATGTTATTTTTAGATTGTTTTTCAATTAATATATACGAGATAATTTGAAATGAAAAGGAAAAACTAAGTTAACATCAATATTCAAAACATGAAGAGCAAAATACAAAGTTATTATATTTCTATATTGAAGGTATAATTATCTAAATATAGGAAAAAACAAATGTTGTATAGTTAATTGAAACATGAATAACAATTTTTTTTGAAGATTTAATTATTTAAAATGGAGGAAAAAACAAACAAAGCTGGTGTAATTATTTAAAATGTGGATAGAAAAAAACAACAAAATTGGTTTGAAAGTATAATTAGTTGATATGAAGAGAAAAAATTAAAGTTGATATAATTATTTAATGAGTTGAGAAAGCAAAACAAATTTGATATGATTCTTATTGAAAATATAAATCTTTGAAGTAGAGAGAAAACAAAGTTTGTATGATTAATAAAAAAAAAAGTAGATATAGAGGTATTTGAAATGCAGAGAAAAGGTATATAGTTGATATGATTATGTGAAACAGGGAAAAAAAAATCTTTTTTTTTAAAGTGTAATTAATATAATTTTATTAAAAATATTGGAAACAACAAAGTTAATATAATTATTTGAAAAGTGAAGTGAAAACACAAAGTCTGTATTCATTTTTTTTAATTTGGTTTTTGTTTTATCTCAACCAACAAAGAAATATCAAATTTAAAATCAAGAAAGAAATGTTATCTTTTAGATAATTATCGTTTCAAATAATGGATGTCATATGTCCAAAGTCATCCGTACGATAAATCATCTGTATGGTTCGTAAGGTACCTTAACCGCCAAGGCGACTGATGCTAGAGAAACCTGATGAAATCTGGTGGTTGCAATGATGATTATAGTCGTATGAACTTCTAAGTTAATGGTGAATCCTCCAGGCGGCGTTTGGTAGAGTAACAACTGTCCTTACATAGATCAAATTGACATTTGTTAGGCGATAACTAGAATTTCAAGCTTTTGAACCGTGGTTAATCTGTCATAGGATAAATTTTTTTTCAACCTAAAAAAGTATAAAACTAAGTTAATGAATATTTATTTTTTCCATAACCTAATATATTTGGAAAAATTATTTTAATTTAACTCGCATTCTAGTTAATATTCTCCTTCTCCTTTGTAATTTTTGTTCTTGTTATTATTGATTGATTTATTTTTATTTGTTATGTCAAATATACGTTGTGACCATATGAGAACAATGATACTAGACGTGGAACTAATATGCAACATGTCGACGTTGAAGCATTAAGTTTATGAAAAAATAGAGGCGACACCGACAAAACAAACAATTACATATGCTCGCAAAGTCCTTCCCACTAAAACCCAAGTCCAATACAATATTCAATCAAGACGAACGCAATATTTCACCTCACCAGCCAACTCTCATATAGTCATATAGGGCACCGGCGAAGCAATGATGGTCTTCACCGACTATCTACATCTTTGCAACAATATTTGAATCATGCAACCTATTTATCTTCTTTATTAAAGATGTTTCATTTCTCTATGTTTTTCTTTCAATCTTATTTCTTTTATTTTGCTAAACTCCGTGTTCCCGTTTTAGAATTTTATCAAGAAAATTATTGTTTTGAATCTTTAGCAATTAAAAACAAAATCGTTTGGTCATTGTTTACACAACCGTAAACATTGTTTTGTTACACATCAAACTAAGTTCACATACAACCTAAGCTATTTAATCAAGTTCACACAATGCAAAATCCTTTTACTACAATTTAAAGTATCTTCATTTGTACTCATCTTATTTTTAAATTTGGTTTATTTTTGTTCTTCTTGATGATTAAAGGCAGGCCAATGGCGTAAACCCTGAATCCGTTGATGGTTAATCCTAATCCGATTGATACATTGATGACTGAAGTTTGTAGATTTAGAACAGCCTATCTTTGCTACCTTCAATAGATAAATTACGAAGGTTGTTGACCACTAGTGTTATGTACAAGAGAAATGAAACACATAGATTTATATAATTATTAGATCACAACCAAAAGACTTATATATGTATCTTATCTCAATGTGAGAGACCTTGCCTAGCCACCATTTGATTAGATTGATTCTAATCCTCTCTAAAAACCAAACAATCAATAGAAGAACAAGTAACAAAGCTTAGACTAAAAAGACACAACATTAATTTATCTTTAGTTTCATGTATTGTCAATGGCAGAAGCCCAGAATCCAAAAGAGACGAAGAACACATCTGATATGTTACAAATTCTACACCAAGAGCAATTTAAGTTTTTAAATATTTTTTCCACCATAGACAGAAGTGAATACGGACATCAACATAGGAACCAAACCTAAAACAGACATTGAGCCTCTCATCCTCACCAAGACCTTGCCTTCTTCTTGTTCGTCTTTTCTACAGCCTCGACTTCCAATGGAGAACCCGGTGTGCAAATCAGATGTATCGAGATAGATACCGAACCTTTTTGTTGCTTGGAACCCAAGTTTTCCTCTTCTGGTTCTCACACGACCAAGAACATTTTCTTCCTCCAAACCTCTATTTATTTTTCCTTTTTCGTATTGTTTCTCTTCGTCTTCTGGTTCTTGATTCTCCACGAGAAGTGTTTCTTGCTCGAGACATTCCTGACTATGTTCATCCCAGAGGATTTTAGGGAAAGAATTCAGTAATTGCCTTTTCTTCTCCTTCAAATCATCATGTGAATGAGAAGTGTGTCCAAGCAATACATTCCATAAAGAACAGAATAGAGTGAAAGAGCGAAGCTGGGAGACAAAGACACCGGCTTTTTCTACATCGGTATTCTGCTTTTGCAAAGAACCGGCTTTAGACCGGATCTTAACCGAGCAACATAAAATCAGTAGGTTCAATCTCCAGTCCGGACAAGTAGATTCACTGCTTTTGTTTGCCGAAAAAGAGCTCATGTTGTTCTCTGCCAGAACAATTCTAGGCATCTTGCTCTGGTCTACACAGCTTAAATCTGGAACTGCTTGTCTGAATGATTGATGCATAAGAGAAGATCTCTGAGCAATAAAGTCTTTGTAGCTTAAAGAATCTGGCACATCGGAAGCTGCATGAGTTAGAACCACGATAGCATTTTTCCATATTGACGAGCCCAGGGAACTGGTGATGATTCTAATTAAATGGATGTCTGGATTGTTGTCCAGACGATCAACATAGAGGATGACATCAACTGGGAACTTTCTCATGCTCTTCTTTATCGACATAAGGACTTCCAGATTAAACTGTTCCTCAGATGCAGAGGACATGAGACCTGGCGTATCCAGTATTCTTATCAGGATTCCTCCTACGTTCCCAACCAAGTAATTTTCAGACTTGGTGGTAACTCCAAATGCACCAACAAGAGACTTAGTCTCCCCAAATATAGAATTAACCGTTGCACTTTTTCCCACCCCGGTTTTTCCAATAACAAGGACGTTAACAGAGAAGTCTAAATCATCTGGAAAATCTTGTTTAGGCAGCATTATCTTTGTTCCGTCAGACACGTGATCAAGCCCTAAGGACGTTTGATGTTCTCCACCAGCTAGGCTCAGCTTAGACGCAACTTCAGTAACAGTTGAATTTTCACTGCAATGACCTGTTCTTCTTATAATCCTCTGGAGCTTTTCTTTCAAGAGCTGGGTCTTCTCAACTCTCTCCTTCACTTTCTCACTTATCAGCTCCACAGAATGATTAGAGGATAGTACTTCAGAATAATTCTGGAAAGTGGATTCAGAGAGTTTCTCCCTTGTATCACCTGTTCCTTCATACTCGTCAAACTCCATGAAAGTGTGATCGTGAATCACCCGTGCCATCTGTGTCTCATTTTCGTTTATGTCACAAGCAGTTACCGGAGAGTTCTCAGACATGGTTCTCTCAACATCTTTAACCGAAAGCAAACTGGTTTCTTCTATGCCCACTGAGATTTGATTTGGTTTGCTATCAGGCTGAAAATTGACCTGCTTATTAATCTGCTTCCCATCTTCCACAGTCTCATTGGCTGTTTTAAAGGAATTACTTAAACTTGATGCTCTATCTTCAACAGGAAGTGATAACATCCTATCAGTATCGTCTGATTCTTGATTTGCTTCATTTTCAGATTCTTGTTCAGCTTTTTGATCGGAAAAATCACAACCACTTACAACAACAACTATTCCTCCAGCGGCCTCAAGGTTCCTCGTCATTTCAGAATCCGGAGATGGAGTTAACTGAAAACTTTCAGAACTCATACCAATTTCAGGTTCGTCCTCGCATTCAGGTTTTTCCGATTCGCTTACTGCACCACAATCATTTTCACAGTGTTCTTTTGCCTCACCTATCATATTGCTAGCGTCTTCATCCCCTGAGTCTCTGCTTTCTGATCCAATAGACGCGTCACCTGGAATCATCAATTCATCTGCTTCACAGGCACTACCAACATGAGTTCTGTTATTGCTCTCCTTGCTGGTACTTCCTTGACGCACCCCTTGCTCGACAAGGCTGCTGACAGTTTCATCTAATCCTTTATCCTCATCAGCAGCGTTTCCTTCACTTTCCACCAGAAACTCATTGCAAACACCTGTCACAGCACCAAGACTACTCTCAAAGGACACTAAACCATCGTCAGAAGATTTCTCCTGTAACATATATTCCTCTTTCAAAACAAGTTCACCTGTAACAGAACCTGAGCATTCTGGTTTATCAGTCATTCCCATTTCTACTAATTCAACTGCACTATCTTCCACTCTTTCCACATCACTTGGCTTGATCAATGCATCGAATTCATGAATGCTATCACCACCATCCTCCTTGGTGATGGTTCTTTGAACAACCCCTGTCTCCAAAAGTTGCTTGAAACTTTGACCCACTTCCATACTTGCCTCAATAGAGTTCCCTTCAGTTTCTGCCATAAAATCATTAAAACCTCCTGGTGGAACAACACCGAGACTCGATTCTTCAATATTCCCAAAGGACACTAAACCATCATCAAATTCATCTGAATAGTTCATTCTCACCTCTTCTTCCTCATTAGAATCAACATCACTTATAAAAGAACCCGAACACTCTGGTTCATCAACCACTCCCTTACCTCCAAATTGAAAGCCTCTATCTTCGATTTCAGTTTCTTCCTCACCTAGAGCCTTGGTTACACGCAACAACACACCCTCTTCATCATCACTACCCAAAATTTCATCCAACTCATCATCATCCAAAGACAAAACAGCCCGAGGAATGACTACTTTTGCTTTCATGCTACCTCTTTCACCTTCACTAACTTCACTCTCAGTAACTCCCTCAACCTCATCACTATTCTCACTCTCTTCCTCCAAAGACGAGTAATTCACCGACGTTTCCTCATCAACATCACCAGCAAATGGTCTATAAATAACACTCCCATCTCCAATCTCTCCACCTAACTCTTCCCCTAGTAGCCTATCAGCCCTAACCCCACCCAAAATCACATCCTCTAACTCAGTCTCATCTTCATCAGTCTCAAAATCAAGTCCATTACTATAACTACTAGCTTCACTACTAGCTGAGTTATGTTCGTCAGTTACAGAACCAGTATCATCATCCTCATCAATTGTAACAGGTGCACGAATTGGAACAGAACTTGCAGATGAAAACGAACCAGAGAGAGTACGCGTGAGAAGAAACGAATCAGCTCTTACCGCCGCAACCGCTCTCACCGCGGAAATTGAAACGCGAGGTTTCTCCGAATCAGTGAGAATTGAAACAATCCCAGGCTTCTCCGACTCCATAAAACCAAAAGCATCCAAAATTTACATAGAAGAAAACAAAGGAAAACGTTAATTCAAACAAAAAGAGGTTTTTTGTGAGTTTCTGTTTGTCGTGACAAGGTTTTTAGGGTTTAATTAGGATTTATGTATGTGAAGCTTTTGTGGGTATGGAAGTGATAGTGTGGAAGACGAAAGAGCCACAGAGAAGAGTGAGAGCGATGCCACAATTCAGGCGGCTCAAGACAAAATTAAAGATTTTTGCCTAATTATCCACATTTTGGGGTCAATTTTAAAATTTTAAATTTGAAAGAGGGATATACGGAATATTTTAAAAATTTTGGGTGTATTTGTTATTATTACTATTTATCAATGTGTAATAAGAAACTCTGTGTGGTTAAACCATCTCCGCCGTAGCCATGGCGGTTTTCCGATGCGCCGTCTTTTTAACTCCTTTGACTTTGTTTCCGTCGTACTCTACCGGAAGGAGAGTTTCTTTTAAAGTTATCCGGTGTTCTTCGGTTTCGATTCCGTTCTCGTCGAAGTCATCAAGAAGGAAAAATTACCTGCGACCCAAAATCCTTAGAACCCTAAATCCGAAGCCTCAAGAAACCGTCTTAATCGGAATCGAAAAGCCGGAAAATGTTCCTCCAAGCGACGTAGTTTCTAATCAGGATGATCATGTAGAGGAGGAGCTTCAAGTCTTAAGTAGCTCGGTTGTGTCAAATGAGGTAAATGGTATATCAAGTAAGCTCTCTCCGAAGTCATTGGCGAAGTATGGATTGTGGTTAATCGGAATATTCGCTTTTCAAACAGTTTGTGCTGTTTTGTTTCTGGGAGACTCAACGAAATCCGAGAATACGCCGGATATTTCGAGTGGTAGTGGTCAAAATGGGGAAAGAGAGAGCAATGTGGTTTCATTAGAGGATCTTGAGATGAATGAGAAGATTGCAGAGATCAGATTGATGGCACGTGAAGCACGTAAAAGTGAGGGTAAGGAAGAAGAGGATGAAACTGGGATTGATATTGAGAAAGAGATAGAAGCAAGATTGTCTAACATGGAGAAACGGTTAAATTCGCAGAGGAAAGGTTTGGCGGGGTTGCGTGTTGAACCGTTGGATGAATCTGGAAATGATGATTTGAAGGATGAGAAAAGTTTGATGTTTGAGAAGAAGTATAAGTTTAAAGCCGAGAAGCCACCAACGGGTAATGTGAAAGGCTTTGGTGGAAGTAAGGGAAATGATGAGGTTATATCTGGGACTGAGATGACAGGGCAAAATGGGAGTGTTAGTGAATCACGAGATCCTGAAGAACAACAAAAAGAGGCAGGGCTTTCAGATTCCGAGATGGTTTCTGGTAGGTTTTAGAATATAATCCTGCAACAACGTTTTGTTTAAAGTCATTGATGAGTTGTGTTAATTTGCAAGAACAAATGGTGCTGTTAGGGATGTAACGAATAGATATTGGATTGACTAGCAATGAATATGAGGTTTAGCAGAGTGTAAAGAACGGGTAGCTATTTTTTAACTTGAAATACATGCAAAGTTGATCTTGTGTAGTATAACTATATGGAATATGCTAACTAGTCATGAAGAGGAAATATCTTGCAATCCTCAGCTTATCTTAAAATTTTAGGTGCTGCTCAGGAATCTGAGCAAAGACGACCATCAAAAGAAGTTAAGAAGTCAAGAAAATCTGGAAATCGAGTGGGCGGAACACCAAATATGGAAGCTGGTTCTGGATTTGGTAGCAGTTCATTGTCAGGGAAACATGGAGAAGTCAGGAAAGGAAAACCGATAAGAAGAGCAAGGGAGAATCAATCTGGGAAAGTGAATAAAATGTGGTGGCTCAAGCTTCCCTATGTGCTGGTAGGTGAAGCCCTCTTTGCCAGAGCCAATCACTAATTCACAACCAAGAACGAACTATCACAAAATATTATGAGCCAGCACTTACCGTTTTCTTTTTTCATCAGAGAGTTCTCATGCGGAGTAATATCGATCAAGACATATCTGAGGGATATTTTACCTTGAGGACCGAATCTATGGAACAAAATGAGGGCCAGGTTTCACACATGATTGCATTTGAGGATCAAAGTGATGCTAGAAACTTCTCTTATCTGCTTGAATCAGTTTTTGAAGACTTGGATGATTTCAGCGCCGATATAGCTCCGGTATCAACCAAGGTAGATAGCTCCTTCTTTTACTAACTTGATTCTTCATTCTTAATGTCTGTATCCGTGAAATTTACTTGTGTAGGAGAATTGTGTTCCTGAATTCCTCTTCACAATCAGAGAGTATAAAGTACAGTATACTGGATTCTAAGAGCAGTGAGATTGTATTTTTATTTATTCACTGTAGGATCTTTATGACGAAGTTAGCTCTGGTGACAAGAATGTGATAGTTGTGAGGAAGAGGCAGCTTACATTGTATGCTGGACAACCATTTGAAGACGTTGAAAGAGCTTTGCGAACTCTGATTCAAGAACAAAGATGAAAAAGTAACAACATTACTTCGGAATGGAAAAACTAGAGAGTCAAGAGATGATTGATGTGGATGACAGAGGCAGTAAGAACAATGGGGAATACAACAACAATTATCCATGAAGCTTAATGAACCATGAAGCTTAATTATCCATGAAGCCTCTGGTGTATTATGACATTGGAATTGAGAGGACAGATCCAATAGTAATGGAAGAAATAGATAGATTGTGTTATATCATGTAAAAACGTATTTTACATGAATCAGAGAGAACAACATTTCCTCTTCAGAAATTTATTGAGATGAGACAATCTTGATCATGGCTTGTGCGTTGAGCCCGGTTACTTTCTTCACACAAAACTTCTTCCAAGCTTCTTGCTTGCTTCCTTCTTCGCCTTCTTCTTCATTCCATGTAAATTTCTGGAAAACCGAGTTCACCATACTCCTCGCGGCTTCCCTTGCCTCTGGCAACTTGTCACTCAACAAATCCGCAGCCATTTGTGCCAGCAGAACCATCCCAAATTCTTCCATTTCATTCAGCTCCTAATAACAAACAGATAGACAAAAATATCAATCACATTCAAGAAAACAAAACCTTAGCTCTAACCATTTTAAACATTGTTGAAGAATTCAAATACCATTTTAGAAACACAGTTGGAAGTAGACACAGCAGCTTTGGCCCTGACACGAGGGTTACTGTGACGGACATAAGTCTGAAGCTTACACAGAAGCGGCAAGCGAGCCACCGAGTTAACCATAGTGTTCAGCGCTTTGTCTGCTTCTTCACACACAAACTTCTTATCTTGTGAAGCTTTCATCAACAACTGCAACAGCTGTGTTTTCACCATCAAGATATCAAATTCAAACTATTTGTTAATCAACAATCCATACCCAATCAAAAGCTAAAATAACAGGAAAAAAAATCAAATTTTACCAGATCGTCCATTGATTTCAAATGAGGTCCTTCCAGCAACTTTTCTCCATAAGCAATGAAGATATCAGAACAAGTCATAATCGAAGTCTTACACAATGCACTTCTAGGATTCTTCATCGCCTTCACCATCACAACTATAAGCTTTTCGCTACAAATTCAAATTCACAAAAACAAAACCATCACCAAAAAAACTCCATAAGATTCAGATTCTGGTAAAATAGCAAAATTAAATATACTCACAGAATTGGTAGCAACAGAGAAGAGTGATGAATTGCAAATCTCCTTGTGTTATTCAATGATTCACAAACTTTAATCCAATCCTTTGATGCTAATTCTTCTAGTAATCGCTGTAATAGAAATTGAATCAATGATCATCAAAACAAATTACTCCACAGATTTTTAGAATCAATTGAGAATTTTACCTGAACAGAGGATTCAGGATCTGAAAATGGTTGGAGATTCTCAGAGGCAACGTATTCAACGGTTGATTCAGGCACAACAACAGGGTTGTTTTCGTCATTCAAACCAATCTCCGGTTGCTTCGAGAGTTTAGCCAGCTTCTTAGGTCGTTCTTGTGAGATCGGAAGAGCGTTTTCAATGTTCCTCAACGCCATTGATAGAAGTTTTTTGAGAATTCAAAAGAGATAGAGAGATTTTTGATTTGAAAAATCGTTCTGGGGAATAATAATCAATGGTAGGGTTGAAATGTTTAATATAAAGAGAAAATTTTGTTCCCTTTTCGCATTTTATATTCAAAAATTCAAGAGGAAATAAAGCAGAAGACCGTTGGTAAGGTTTTGGCTCCAACGGTCATAAGCATCGGTTCGGTTTAGATTAATTAGATTCGGTTACTTGGTTAATTGCTCATTTCACACGACGTCGTTCCGTAACTTCTACGAAACGACAGCGTTTAAGTTATCACTTCTACGCCACACGCGAGTGTTGGCAAGTGTGTGACTGTTCAAGGGAGAGAGCTAATTCTCCGTCTTCAATGGCTTCTCTTTTCCCCAATTGAAATTGAATCAGTTCCCTAGAACAATTGATTTTGAATCCGGCGTCGTTTTTCATGGACCAAGAGTATCGGAACTCTAGAACGTCGGTGTCGCATCACCAGCAGCATCATCATCATCAAATGAGAATGACGGTTCCTCCACCACCGTCTCCTCAACCTTCGCCACCGGTTCTTCCTCATGCTGAAAGTGATCAGAGTACCTCGGAGCTTCGTTCTCTCGATTGTAATCTTACTTCTTTATGCGATCATATTCAATCCGAAGGTTTCGGCTCTGGTGCATTTTCTGATGTTGTTGTTAAAGCTATGGGATCCAGTTACCATCTCCATCGGTTAATTCTATCTCGCAGCTCCTACTTCAGGTGAATTTTCCGATTTACAATGGAGCGATCAAATCGAATCACCTGGGTTTCTGTTTGAATATTGATATTCAGGTTTTGCAATTTGTTAAAAATTATGTAATTTTGCTTCAGGACTATGCTTCAAGGTCCATGGAAAGAAGCAAGCTCTCCCGTTGTGAACTTACTTGTGGATGATAAAAATGTTAATGGAGATGCTATTTCTGTTGCTTTGGCTTATCTTTACGGGTATCATCCTAAGCTTGATGATGATAATGCTTTCGTGTTTTAGCTGCTGCTTCTTTTCTTGATCTCCAGGTAGTCTTATTTCTTGTGACTTAATCAAAAGATTAGTTTCTTCCGGATCAGTTGATCTAAAAACAAAGGGGTTTTGCTACAGGATTTGTGTGCCATATGCACCGATTTTATTATTTCTGAGCTGAGGACTTCAAACTTCCTGGCATATCAGGTTTGAGATATATTAGTAATGTATATTTTTCAGCCTCCTTGGTCTCCGTGAATATTGAGTACATGGAGTTTCTCCCACTTGTGACTCAGGTGTTTGCTGAGAGCCAAGACTATGGCATACATGGAGAACGTGTAAGGAATGCTTGCTGGGGTTATCTCTGTCAAAGTGGTGCCGTGGAACTGAGAGAGGTAATATAATGTCTATGCTTTAGAGTGACATTATGACTTTTATGTAGTTAGAGATGGCCTCGTTTCTTTTGGGTATATGTCAAGAAAGCAAAAGTATCCCCATTCTAGCTATATCCTGTTCTACCTATCTCATTGCTAAAACGTTTTTCCTTCACTATTGACATGACGTATATGGCTTGACAGTCTTCCATCCTATATGTCATTCTATCTCGAAAGCATCTGATAATGAAATCAAAGAGTGTTCAACCTAGTTTTTAGCATTCTAGTTCTGACTTGCTACTTATTTTATCACATCTTATGGTCAGATGCTGCCGAAACTCTCTGCACAGACTCTATGTGCATTGCTGACATCTGATGAACTATGGGTGCCTAGTGAAGAAAAACGGTATTGAGAATTGCATACTCTAACTGTATTATGGTTTCATGCTGTATTTGCATCTATAAAGTTTCTTTAAACCTTGTTTCTTTCCATGTCAAAAAGGTTTGAACTGGCATTGTACGCGTTCATAGCAAATGGTGCTCTCTCCAACTCAGAACATTCCAATAAAGATTCCAGGTTTGAGAGAGAGACAAGCTTTCCTTTGGATTCAGCTATATCAAAGGGGAAAAGTGTGATGGATGATTTCTCTTTCAGGAGTTTGGACTGTAAGTTAGGTCATTTAGATATAGAAGACGACCTACGAGATGCTAGTGATGATGTGATTGTTCCACTCGCAGAAGGTGTTATTGATTTCCAAAGAGGTGTTTCTGGTTCAAACCTCGTGTTTCAGCAATCTCCTAACTCACAAACAAGTTTTGGTCGTACTTGCACCAGTGTTGTTGATAAGACAGAAGGCAGTGGGGTGGCAATTGAAGGACCTTCTGAAGAAGCATACCATTTGAGTAATGATAGTTGGTTATCAGGAGCAGACTCTAGAAATTCTCCTACTTTAGGTTCTTCCTCTGATGGTTTTGTGGTCAGTGAATGGGGAAACTGTGGTGTTTCTGCTCTAACCTGGGGTGGGCGGGTTGTGGGGACAAGGCAGGGTACAGGCTCTGTTAAAGGAAAATATGGATTTGCTGAGGAAGAATACAGTGCATTTGTTAACACTTTTGAAGGTGGTTCACTTCTGTATTGCAATATGTCTTTTGAAATACTATTGAACGCAAGAAAAGAACTTGAAGAGTTGGGTTTCCCTTGTAAAGCCGTGAATGATGGCCTCTGGTTGCAGGTTCGTTGACTTGCTTGCTTTCTCATTCAGCCAGTCTTAGAAATGTAGGGATGGTTGATTCGCCTAACTTTGATACATTTGACTTAATGTGGCGTAGGGATTTTGAATCAAAATGGAGGCATTTATCATGAGCAATCCTACTCTAGTGTTACATGTTTGCTTCTATAAATGCATTTAATATTTTTATGTTTGACTACTATTCAGATGCTTCTCAGTCAAAGGGTGCAGGAAGTTGCTGCCAACACATGCAAAAGGTGTTGCCTTATCAGTGTTGCATGCGCGTGTAAACAGGGATTTGGGGTTTCACATGGTGCAACCTTTAATAATTATTATTGCCAAGACAATGTGCAGAACAATATGATGGGAGACATGGAAAATGTCTATGTGGCCGAATCTTCTCAAGGCGAAGGAATAGGCATCTTTAAGCCTGTCAGGATCAGTGTCAGAGGACAACACATTGATGGACTTGCAGGCATTGGATGCGAAGCTACATTTGTGCCACCACCTGCATGGCCTCCTACACCTTTTGTGTACTCTCGTGTCCCTATTAACAGAAATGGTCAGCAATCTATTGCTAGTGATGGTTCTGAAGGTAGAATTGACCAGAGTGGAGAAATTTCAAAAGATGGCTTGACAGCTCTGGTTGGGCTGAGCCAAGGGACAAGCGGTGTTGGTAATAATCTTCGTGGTGATCAAACTGAAGGAGGGCGTGGCAGTGGAGCTACTGTTGGAATGTCAGAACCAAAGGAATCTTCAGTAGGGACTGAGTGGGAGAACGCAAGTTGTACCATATCACTCGATACAAGGACACCTTTGTGTCACTTTCCTCCCTTTCGTTTTGGGTACTGTTTCCATTCTTGTTTACTTGTAAATAACACTCTTGGTTTATTCCAACTTTGCTGTGACTCCTTGTTTTGTCCTGTTTGGTAAATGGTTCCACTCAGATGAGTCTTTTCATTGTCTGCAGAGTTGAATTTGAGGATGTCCATAGACTCGCTAATGGTCATGTGGAGCATTCTCCTGAGTTCTTCTATGCTGGTTCTCTGTGGAAGGTATCACAAACTCACTACTCAGTTGTCAAGCTTTCTCTTGAAGCTGTTCTCGCTTTCTAACGATGAAATTTTAATACTGTATGCAGATTAGCATTCAGGCATTCAATGATGAAGATCCTCAAGGACGTCGAACGATTGGTAACCCGAGTCAACAGAATGACAAGATCACATATTTTCCTCACGTTAGATTGGTGTGTAACTTTTTTAATCAATTTCTACAGGATTGTTTCTTCACCGCCGCAAAGCAGAGATAGTGGATTCAGTAAGGAAGGTTAGTTTTATGTGGTATATTGTTATAATAGAGCTACTTTAATTGTCATGTCTTGTGAAATAACAATCTCTTCTGCCTCATTCAGGTCCATGTTTACATAGATCCTCGTGACAAAGTGACTGCACGTTACCAGGTATATTACATATATCTATGTTCAAGTTCTCGTTGATATCCATGTATGATTCCATTTCTAAGCGGAATGATAAAATGGTAGGTTTTGCTTTGATGCATCTAGTCATAGTTTCCTCATAAGCTATATTCTTTCATTGTTCGTGTAGCTTATCTGCCCATCAAAAAGAGAAGTGATGTTGTTTGGGAGCTTTAAACAGAGAGGAACTCTTCTGCCTAAAGCTCCCAAAGGGTGGGGATGGCGCACCGCACTGCTCTTTGATGAGCTCTCTGAACTTCTCCAGAACGGTGCTCTCAGAGTCGCTGCTGTGGTTCAACTGGTCTAGAGGTCTCTTAAACTCGAGAATTGTATGTAAAAAAACTCGACAAAATCCACATTTGGAAGTTAACCCTTATTAATATAGATAGGGTCCCAATAAATATATTCTACTTCCTTGGGCGTGTTTGTATAAATGAGTCAGAAATTATTTGAGAGAAATATAGTTTTCAGAATGTCAATTTCTTCTAGATAGTTCTTTGTTTTGAGTTAAATCAATATGGATTTTGGATTTATGCAACTAACAGAAAAGTGAATAATTCTGGATTTTGTTAGAAACGACGTAGTTTTCTCTAAATAATTAATACGCTCGTTTATAATAATGAACCGGAACCTACCGGTTTAAGCAATCGGTTCATGGTTAACAAGTAAATGTAAAACCCTATTGGTAGCCTTGCCGGAGAGAAGCTTTTGTCTCACCACTCACCGTCACAACTCACAACTTGTGCTTCCTCTCGTCCTCGTCGCCGTCGTCAGAGAGAAAACGATTAAGCTGCTATGGGGAGAGATAAAGATGATAAGACAGAGATTGATTCGGTTGTTCCATGGATGAGAGCTCCGGTTGACGTCAGCAATGTCGAAAATTGCGCTCTCGAAACCCTCCCTTGCCTCAATCCCAAGTAAACATCGTTATCTATATAAGTTTTTTGTTTTCATTGAATCCTGCGAATCTATCCGTAAGGAGGCGTTAGGGTATGTAGTGAGAGCTTATAAAACTACCAGATATCTCTGTGTGCTATGTACATGAGAATGAGTTCTCTGGCCTTTGCTTATTGAATTTGTTATTGGCCAGTGATAGTAAAGCACTCCCCAAATTTGTTTTAGTGTTACTGATGTTCTGTCTCTTGCTCAGCTACTTCTTAGATCAATTTCTTGTTTGAATATTTTTATCATATCCTTTACAGTATTCATATGAGTAAGAAGAACTGTTTTGCATCACTTGGTGCGTGATGAATGCCTCATTTTTGAAGTTTTGATGCGATAGGTTGAAGAAGGCATTGGAGAACATGGGCATATCTTCACTTTTTCCAGTGCAAGTTGCAGTTTGGCAAGAGACTATAGGGCCAGGTGGTTTTGAAAGAGACATCTGTGTTAACTCTCCAACAGGAAGTGGAAAGACTCTCTCTTATGCTTTACCAATTGTGCAGATCCTTGCTTCTCGTCCAGTGAGATGCCTCCGTGCTTTAGTCGTATTACCCACTCGTGACTTAGCATTGCAGGTAGGTTCCCACTTCTTAATGCGTTTTAGAAAATGCAACAACTCTATTTCGCAAGCATATGGTGTACTCAAGTCTTCCGTTTTGACATTTCTAAGTTTAGGTTAAAGATGTGTTTGATGCTATAGCTCCAGCCGTAGGCTTATCTGTTGGCTCAGCTGTGGGTCAATCTTCGATAGCTGGTGAAATCGCGCAGCTTATCAAGACCCCTAAACTTGATGCAGGAATCTGCTATGATCCCGAGGATCTTTCCCAAAACCTTGAAAGTGCTGTGGACATATTAGTAGCAACACCAGGAAGGCTGATGGATCATATCAACAACACCAAGGGCTTTACGCTTGAGCATTTGCGTTACCTTGTATGAAGAAATTCCAGATTTCCCTTCTTAGTTCACATCGTTCTTAGTTTCCAATTTGATCGATGAAGCTAATTGTTTCAGGTTGTTGATGAAACCGACAGATTGCTTAGGGAGGCATATCAATCCTGGCTACCAACTGTTCTGCAACTGACTCAGATATCTGACGATGGCCTATTTCCTTCATTTACACCATTTGTTCCTTCCGCTTTTGGATCTCTGCGGACTGTTCGTAGACAGTGAGTTCCATGTTACTAGCTTATTTCTTTTGTTATACTAATACTAGTCAGTAGTCACATAATAACATGGTCATCTTAAACGTTGTAATCAAAACTGATTAAAAAGAACTAATGTGATGTCTGCTTTAAAATCTCAGAAGTGTAGAGAGAGGTTTCAAAGGTAAACCATACCCAAGGCTGGTGAAGATGGTATTATCAGCTACGTTGACGCAGGATCCAGGCAAGCTTATTCAGCTTGACCTGCATCACCCGTTATTCATGACTACTGGAGGAAGCCGATACAGACTACCTGAGAAGTTGGAATGTCTTAGACTGGTATGTATGTGCCTTTAATGTGACGTTTTTCTTTAAGTTTGTGCATTAACAGAAGATTTATCTGCAAAAGCTTATCTCCACAATTTTCTTCCCATGTCTTTTAACAGATTTGCGAAACCGGAATGAAGCCTGTATATTTGGTTGCTCTCCTAAAATCATGGGAAGGTGAAAAGTGTATCATTTTCACATCTTCCGTAGAGACAACTCGTCGTCTATGCAAGTTACTCAACTTTTTCGGTGACCCGAAAATAAAAGCAAAAGAGTATTCAGGTGGTCTTAACCAATCAGTTCGGAGGTAATATTCGAATCTTGCATTACTTAGTAGCACCTTATACTATCTTTGACACCCATAGCTAAAGAAATCTGCTTGTTTATTGAACAACTTTTGCCTGCAGCAAAGAATTAAAGGCCTTTAGAAAAGGTGATATTCAAGTTCTTGTTGCATCTGATGCTCTAACTCGTGGAATGGATGTTAAAGGGGTAACAAATGTCATAAATTATGATATGCCTCCATTTGCAAAGACCTTCATCCATCGTGCTGGACGGACAGCTAGAGCAGGCCAGGCTGGCCGGTGCTTCACATTGCTGAGTAATCATGAGGTAAACTGAAACTATATACTACACAAACACACAAACATTCTTTCTCTGTATGCTTGTCCACGTATGTCTAAACACAAGCTAGAGGTACCTCAGAGAATAGATACTAGGTAAAGCATTGTGTCTGAAACAGGGAAGAAGTTTCAGTTTCAGAATCTTGTGCTCATCTCACTGAATCATTAATCTCTTAGGATAATTTTATAGGAAAATTGCTTGGAACCCACCATCTATCTCATCCTCTGCTACTTTTTACATACTCAAGCTCTTGACTCTAGCCCCATTTGGATATATAAAAATTTCAGGTAAGGCGTTTCTCGAAGCTCCTGAAGAAAGTTGGGAGTGATTCATGTCCTATCTATCCGATCCCGCCCACTTCATTAGATTTAATTCGTGCCACTTACACACCCGGTAAGTTCCTAGTCTTGTGTATATAGTTCTAGGAAACACTCTACAAATAGACATGAAAAATAGGGGAGTAATGTGGAATTGAGAATCGGCACTGCGGCTTAGTTGTTAGACCTCCTGATGACCATGTGAATTTAGATTTAGAGAATTAATTTCCAAATTATTGATGTAGATGTAGAGTTTTATGGAACCCTGTCAGTGCATAGGAAACATTAGAGGCCATTGAATCTGTTAACTGGATTTTGGTAATGATGATGATGATGAAGTCATTTCTCATTTCAGCTCTAGAGAAGCTCAAGGAGTTGGTTGAGTCAGAAGCACCAAAGAAAGGAAGACAAGCTTTTAGACATAATTCAAGAACCGGTAGCTCCCAAACCAAACTTAACAAACCGAGATCAGAAGCATAGTTCTTCTGGGTCCCTCAGGTGTGTCGTGTTGTCAAGTACTCAAACGAGTCGGATCCGGTCTTTTTGGGATACAAGACAAAGGACGAGTTATTGGGTTTGGATATTCTTGACGTAAAATTGTTCGTTGAGGCGAAGAATCCATTGTATTAATGAAAAACTATAGCATAACGCTGACACAAGTCGTCACAAAATTTTGAAATTATTTTTAACAATTGCACTTGGTATATTACCTCAGATAATATCACTTTTAATATCTGCTAGCAAAAAGGAAAATGGATGCAGAATAGGTTAAAGACTTAAAGTTAAGCATCAGTTTCTAAATCGAGGAAGAAGTAGGGTTTTTCTTGGCGACTATTGGTTTAGATGAAAATGTGATTGTCATTGCTTATGATAATCCAAAGTTTGTAATGGTTTAGTAGTGTCTCAGATTCTGCGGATGTATCCACTCATGTAACTATATTGTACCAGCTTGTACTTGATCTGTTTGTTTTATAATAAGACTTCTGAGAAAGAACAAAAAAAATAATACCTCAGATAATCATCTAGTTATTATTTATACAATTTCTTTTCAATAATTAAGAGATCAGATTTCTTAAAAACTATTACTAATTGTCAGATTATTTAAAAGACTTTTTCAAATAATAGTGATATATTGTTCAAAGAAAAGGAATCACACTATAATATAGTGAAAGGTGTCTATAACTTCTCCCCCCAATAGATTCCTTTTCTTATGAACAAAACCAAAAAAACTTATTTCATATGTTTCGAACAAACTATTTTGTAATCCAATACAACTCAATCCCTTCATGTATAAATAAATATGTGTCACACCTTACACCCAATGTCGGTCCTGAGAGGTACCACATACGAAACAAAAACATGGTCCGGTAGTACAATTATATTATATTTTTATTTTATTGTATAAGCTATATAATACTTGATTGAATACATATATAAAAAAATTTAGTTATTCTTTTATGGGTTGTATGAATCCACAAATATAATATACTATTGTTAAAATATTTTTGCTTCAATTACTCACTCCGTTTCATAATATAAGTCGTTATGGATAAACTTTTTTGTTTCACAATATAAGTTGTTCTCAAGTTCCCATGCAAATTATATATTACTTTAATATTTTATATTTATTTATATTATGCATTCTTTTTAATGATTTGATATACTTTTTAAAAATAGATATTCTTGATCTGCGTGTTTTTAGCTAAAACGACTTATATTATGAAACGAAAGGAGTATTTAATTTGATACAATCTACATTAAAAAAAATGCATTGTTATTCTTTCCCAAACACATATATATATATATATATATATGTATATATTAAATATAAAATTGGACTCATAAAATAAGATTCCACAAAATAGGTTCCCAAACCATTGCTTTATTTTGCTGCCCAAGGTCGGCGGCTCTCACAACCTGAAACACAGAAGCTTCATTATAGGACAGCTTACCATTTTAGAATCGGAGTTGGATTCGGAAGCTCTCAGAAGCTTTCATAATTTCGCTTCCTTGGTGCTTACGGAAAAATCACTTTAGAAACTCGCTAGAAGCTTGTGATTCCGATTGGAAGCTTGAACTTCCATTTTAAAATCTTG